ATATTTACAACAACCAATATGGTCATAGACAACACTGTGGCAATACAATCCAGCTAATTTCAATGCCTAGAATAGCCCAAAACCTAACACCAAAACATAAAATTCAAATTACATTTTTTTTTTTTTAATCTATTCCATTCTAATTTCTTATTCCACAAATTGAAGAAAAAGAGAGATTCTTGTCAAGTAAAAGATTAGAAATCTATACCAAACTAAATCAAGCTATCTCTTATACTAAAAAAAAAAAAATTCAAGAGTGTAAGTATAAAAATAAATAAAAAAATAAAAAAATAAAAAAAATCCTAAAGCTTTACTAAAATGACTAAAATACCATAGCCAAGCAAACTCTTACAACAAGTTCTTTCACTTTCAAAATCATTCACAAGACTTGACTTAACAAGAATGTTAAGTCAAGGATTTTTTTTCACTTAAATACTCAAACTCTAATTGATATGAATAAAGTCAACTAGCAGAAAAACTATCAATGGATGAAAAATCCACTAATTATATTAAACTATATACATTTGACAAGATTTGGCACTTTATGCTATATTATGTGATAATTTACATATTATTTACTTCCAAATGTATATGCTAAGAATATATAGATGTTCTAATTAAATTATAGTAATATTAAGGCCCATTATTGTGACTTTCAAGTTAAAATTTGAAAAGCCAATTGTCATATTTCATAACAAAGTGAATTACTTAATTCAATGTTTGAAGATTAAATAAGTTAAACATCAATTTTTTTATGTCATATCATAATTTGTAAAGAAATTGGTTAATGAATGTAGCATCATTCCATTTAATATCAATTGCAAGTTGTCAAAATTGTGAATCATATAATGTTATAAATTGATTTTTTTGATATAAAATATAGATCTTATTGGTTGCAATATAAATTGCATTATGGTTTCTATACATAGATTGAAACTTTGCTAAAAAAGCATCTAAATTATCTAATATTGAATTATATTATTTAAACAAAGATAAAAACCATGATAATATAGAACTTGAAAGTAGTGTTCTAATAAACCTAATTTTTGATCTTGAAGTTGAATAGCTTTGAGATTGAAGTTCAATCACTAGTTTTACTTGATTGATAAATCTTTAAAATTTTGATCTTTTATTATCAAACTTCTTAAAAAAGGTAATTCTTGATTCTCTAAGATTTGAATTATATTTCTCTATAGGAAGAATAACTTGATTTAATATAAATGTTGAAGTAGCTCCAAATATTTCTATATCTTCACTTCCTACCAATCTTATTGTTCTTTGTAGTGGTAAATTGAATTGATGCATAGAAAGTATTAACTCTTTCAATTTCACTTACATTTGTGGTATTTCATTCTTCATTTTAATAAATTTTTCTATAATTATACAATGAAAAAAAAAGATGTTTAATATTTCCTAAAATAAATAGAAAAGAAGATTGGAGAATAAATTTTTTTTAAGAATAATATTAGTTCAAAAGTGAATAATCTATTACTTCCAATATGCTTATGTTTTATTAAGAAAAAGAAATAATTCATTTTTAATCAAAAAAAGACAAAGTTGTGATATTGTAAGTGTATCCTTCTCAATTTGTTAAAAACAAGAACCTAAAAAAGATACATAAATTTGTCTTAACTTGCAAAGCAAGTTTCTTACATGTGTACCACATTGTTAGTTTGTATCACAAGTTATTAATACAAGCAATACGTTGCTAACTTGTTGGCCAAATTTCTAATGTATGAATGATCTATAAACATGTATAAAGGCAAAACTACATCGATGAAGCTTTTTAAGGATATATAATTAAATTAATTTACTTTTTTCTACTTCTACTTATTCATATTAACTAATTATTAGAGTAAATACGTATATCTATGAAAATTATTTAACATTATATAATATTATTCAAAAAAAATGATAAAGCTAAATTTGAAACGAATGTTCAAATAAACATAATTTTTGATCTTAGAGTTGGATAATTTGAGGTTGAAGCTCAATTATCAATTATACTTGATTGATGAATCTTCAAATCTTTAATCTTATATCATCAATCTTCTCAAAAAAATCAATTTTGGATCCATTTATGTTTAAATGATGTTCTATAATAATAAAATAATATGATTTCATATAGATGTTGAAAAAACTCCAATCATCTTTATATCTTCACTTCTAATTCATCATATTATTCTTTATAGTGGTGAATTGAGTTTATGCATTTCAAGTATTAATTCTTTTATTTTCTCCTATATTTATATTAGTGAAATTTTATTCCAAAAAGCTTTATCATAATATTATAATAAAAAATAAAATATCTAATATCAATTAGAAAAAAATAAAATAAAGAACTTAAGAACAAAAAAATTATAAAATAGTAATAATTTAGAAGTAAGTAATCTACAACTTCTATTATGTTTATGTCTTATTTAAAAAAAGAAATAATATGTTCTTAATCAAGAAAAAATAAATCTTTGATATTATAAGTATATTCTTATTAATTTGTCAAAAATAAAAACTAAAGAATGTAAATAAATAAATGAGATATATGTCTTTCTTTGATATATATATATATATATATAGAGAGAGAGAGAGAGAGAGAGAGAGAGATAAGAATGGCTATTGCCAAAAATAAGAAGACTATAGATTCTTGAAATAAGTCTAAGAATAAAAAAAGGCATTGATAAGAATTAAGCAGGCCGTATTATTGTCTCTATATACAATGAATGTTTAATTGAATGTTATTGTTACTTAGGTTGTAACAATAATATTCAACAATTATATGAAAGTAATCATTGTATATGATTTATAACTCTTATGGAAATATATATATATATATATATATATATACATAGATATATTTTTATATTTTTAGATTTTTTAAAAATATCTATGTATATATATATATATATATATTTATATGAAAGTAATCATTGTATATGATTCATATACAAGAGTAAATCATTGTATATGATTCATATATGAATCATTGTATATGATTCATATACAAGAGTTATAAATCATATACAATGATTACTTTCATATAATTGTTGAATATTATTGTTACAACCTAAGTAACAATAACATTCAATTAAACATTCATTGTGGTTTTCAAGCATATTAATCATTCTTTCTTCTCTACCCTATAGTGATGGGAAATTATCCCAAACTCAATGTCATACTCCAGGCAATTCAGAAATATAGTGAGATGAATACCAGGAATATTTATTCACATCGACCCCTATCGCCGGGCAATGCCACTCCCACCGCGGAATGAGAAACTCCTTGAAAAAACAAGTCCCTTCCCAGCTGCCCGAAATCGGCCGCCTGGTCAGCACGGCACGACACTGCCCACGTGCAATCCTGACGTGGCCTCTACGTCCGGAAGGCGGCGCCGTTAGCGATGTCCTCCTATGCAAGTTCCTCTTGTGGCGGGGCAGTGTGCCCGCCACTTCACCGTCACCCTCCACCCCAACAAGTGGCCCAAATTACTCAGGGGCAGCCCAGCTTCGAAATTTTAAGCGGTGACCGCCCCTTCTCATCGTCACGCGTTACTTCTTTTTCACTCAATCGAGTCTGTTTATTATTGGCCGCTAGGAAATTGCAGCTTCCAACTCCGCATCACCGCGTGCAGTACAGTGGAGATCTTCAAGAGTGTCCTCACCAGGAATTTGCAACTTGCTCCTTGCAATTTGTAATAAATGGACAGAGAAGCCTAGATTCCGCATCCACAGTGATGGGTCACGTATCAATAAGCGAAGCTGCGTTGGCAACTATGGCAATTGGTTTGGTGTCTTCGTTCCTGTCAAGTTTGAAAAGAAGAGGGAGATCTGATTTCTTAATAAGTGTCGACTTGTCTGGGTAGTGGATTGCGTGGGGCGTGTCGTAGTGCGACGCGATCGCATCAAATTCATCGCCTCAAAATTTGTCACGTTGTTGGGTCAATTGCAACGAACTGCGATTGAAGGATTCTTCTCGGTGGCCTTCAAATTTGCTTTAGTATGACAGAAGTTTTGCAGCTGTACTCGGCGTTTGGAAGGAGTGGAAGTGAGGTGGATCACCACGCACCGGAGTTGGTGAATTGTTTACTGCAGAAAAAAATGGCTTTGATCACATCAGAATGATTGATGTTTCAGCTTGAATTTCACCTCAAGATGTGTTCTCATCATGAAATTTTTATTGGGCCAGGATGTACTTTCATTGTTTTGAAAGAATATTTTAAGACGCTTGTGTTTTACAACCTTTCGGAAGATGCGTCCTTGATTGAAAGTGGTTAATGTTTTGTACATCATTACTGGATATGAAAATACCAATAAAATGAAATACAATAAAATATTTTTTTGAAATGAAAATTGGTTTAAATAAGCATGTAAATAATAGACGGTGGAGTAAAGAAAAGGTAATAAAAAAAAAAGTATGAATTCTATTACTCTTCAATATAAAAGTAAGAGGTGTCCGTTTGCAAGCAATAAAAATTCAGTAATTGCTAGATAAATTCAAAAGCCAACCAATACACACCATTGTTTTGCTGCAAAGCTAGGGTTTCTAAGGCCACAATTCAATGACTAGTGACTTACATATTACTTCCAAACCGAAGCAAAGCAAGGGTACTCCACGATTGTATATATACTCACTTGTTTATTTTTAAACCATCTGAAATCACACAAAAATGTTGTGACCCTGCTTCATTATGATAATTAAGTGACGTTTTAATCTCATTAAATTTAATGCCACCGTAGGTTATGGACGGAAATGGATGGATGTAAATGGAAAGATCGGCGGCAAAAAGACCAAATTCCATACTACTGCCCGAGTCCGATAAAGACGGAAACAATGCGATAAAAGTAAAAGTGAGCAGAAGAAAGTGCACGGTCGAAGGCGGCGTTTGTTTACATTTACTTCACCAAAACCGAGCAGGATATCGGGCACACGGTCAGGAAGAAATTGTTCATGACGGTCAGAACATTCTGGATGGTTGGCGTGCTTGCTATAAGAACACTGCTCCTCCGATCTAAACCTCGGATTGTGCGCTTCTAGATACTGAATTTGTTTCGACCCTGCCTTGTTGAGTGGCCGTAGAGGCTCGACAGTTAGGATCAGTGTGCCGTTGAATTTAGTGATTGTGTAGCGACCAGTACGTCCTGTAAGGATGCAGATCTTCGTGAAAACTCTGACGGGGAAGACAATTACCTTGGAGGTCGAGAGCTCGGATACCATCGACAACGTCAAGACCAAGATTCAGGACAAGGAGGGAATTCCTCCTGACCAGCAGCGATTAATTTTCGCCGGAAAGCAGCTGGAGGATGGTCGCACGCTCGCCGACTACAACATCCAGAAGGAGTCTACCCTTCACTTGGTGTTGCGTCTTAGGGGAGGGATGCAGATTTTCGTGAAAACCCTAACGGGCAAGACGATCACCTTGGAGGTCGAGAGCTCCGACACAATTGACAACGTTAAGACCAAGATTCAGGACAAGGAGGGAATTCCTCCTGACCAGCAGCGATTGATATTTGCTGGAAAGCAGCTAGAGGATGGCCGCACGCTCGCCGACTACAACATCCAGAAGGAGTCTACCCTTCACTTGGTGTTGCGTCTTAGGGGAGGGATGCAGATTTTCGTGAAAACCCTAACGGGCAAGACGATCACCTTGGAGGTCGAGAGCTCCGACACAATTGACAACGTTAAGACCAAGATTCAGGACAAGGAGGGAATTCCTCCTGACCAGCAGCGATTGATATTTGCTGGAAAGCAGCTAGAGGATGGCCGCACGCTCGCCGACTACAACATCCAGAAGGAGTCCACTCTTCATCTGGTGCTCCGCCTCAGAGGTGGACAGTGAACTAAGTCACTACCTCTGCTGAAGGGCGATCCGATTTATGTCCCCCTCCAATCTGCTGAGCTATTCATCTTTTCTTTCTTATGAAAGTAATCAGGCCGTTAATATTTTGTCAATATAATACACAGTTGAAATAGAACTCTTTTCACATATCATGCTCCACGTTGTGAAAGAATCTCTGGTTTCAGTTTTCGCAAAATTGAGGTGTGCAACTGCTCGGCATGCTAATTTTGGTGACTAGTGTTTGGTTCTAGTTCGAGGTTATTCTCCCACGTTTCTCAATGTGCTGCGATGTGCAAGTTGAAAACCTGCGTCGATGATAATGCTTTCTTCCATGAACTCGTATTGTCGAATAGAGCTTCCCGGCGCAATCTAAGTTGATATCGTGGCATGTTACGAATGATGCATGAGCAATTCATGTTGTGGAACTGTGTTAAACGGGAGTTTTCTATCTGCTCTGCATTTCAACAAGCCTCTTAATTTGCAACTGAAATTGAATTATTGCCCGTTCGTATATTTATATCCATTCTCAATTTTCTGGCGTTGGTAAATTGCTAAATAAAAGTAAAATGGCGTTGTCAAAATCAAAATGAATGCAGTTGGTTTTTTAGTCTTACAATTCATGAAGCTTACTGTTTGGTATGAGTGGGGTGCTTCTTAACATATCCGTTTACTCAATATATTTTGTAATAGTTTGTTTCTTCAATACAGTCAGAGGGGAGTTCTGAGCTGCATATATGATGGGTGGAAAATGGATTTAACTTGTTGCAGAACAGAAATCAGCAAAGAATACAGTTGGTTTTTTAGTCTTAGTAGATTATTTTCGTTGAGGTATTGTGCTTTACTATGGAGCACGTTACGTGATGTATATGTGGTTCAGGTGGAAGAAGATTGCCGTCCAATTGCTGGCGAATTGAGCAACCAACCAAGGAGCACTCATTTTGATTCGTTATAATGATTGCTCAACTGATTAGGTGAGAGAGTTAGTATTGCACCTGTTCACGATCAAGACGTAGTGTAGTACATACCAGTTCGTCCACAGCAATACCATCTCTTACCGTTCTCTTCCTGTGCATTGCAATATCTTGGATCCTCCTTTTTTACCACACTAGTTTGAGCTTATCAACCATGTGTGGTGAAGCTTCGTTCAGGATCCGACGTGTTTGATACATGCGCTGCCAAAATTAAGTGGTTGAATCTTGATTTTGACTTTAGAAAGTAATGCAGCATAGTTCGACTTAAACGAATGTTGTGATCACCAATACAGAATGGGAACAACTGTAAGAGATTTATAAGGGAAAAATCACGGTGGAAATACGACGAAGTAAGCAAATATGACACGGAGAGACTTTGAGACATGGTAGTTCGCTTCTAAGGTAGGAGATAGTAAAGGAACCCGAAGATGAGAGTGCAAGTTTGCGAACCAGACATCAAAAATATTGGCCATCTCTTTTGGTGGTCATGTATCTGATGTAACAGAATGGTTCAATCGCAAGGTTCCAGTCTATGCCGAGTTAGCGACCTGTGAAACGGATATTTTAACTGCGCAATTTAACTTCTAGTTCACGGTGAATCCAGTTCACTCTTGTAGGTCTTCTCATTTGTAGGACTTCGGCTGTCAATGAGATGGACAGAAAAATCAAAGTGTTACACCGCGTTTCAGCAGAATGTCTCCATAGGGCTCCGCTTGACTTACATAGATTGATTCATTGGAAGCCAGCACTGGAAGTGTCAAGCAGAAACATGTTAGGCTTGTGTACTTTTTTGTGGAGGGCGTTCAAATAAACCACATGTTGCGTTGTTGGATGAAAATACAGATGTCATCCACACTGACTTGCCGCATCCTTACTATGTAAACATTACAAGTTTATTATTCTAGACCCTGCACTCAAATACGTGGTTGACACAATTCCTGCCGTCTTTTTACCTCAGTTCATGTGAGGACAAATTTACACCGGAGATTCTCTTAAGTTATTGACTGTCGGATCCACTCACCGCAGACTTGATAGAACATCCTGGCTGCGCGGGTCTTGTCGAGTCCAGACGTTAGCTTGTTCATGGACGCCTCAAACACATCAGCGACTTGCAGCTTATTAAAATGCTCCCGTAGGAGTCTGGCAATATAAACAATGACTTTTTTCTTGTTAGACGTCGTTGCTCGACTCTCAAATCCGTACTGAAGTAATCCAGCTTGTGCGTAGAGGTAATTCCAATTGACTGATTACATTCAGGAATATCGACCTTGCGTTTGTACAGGGGACACCTTTTCTAGCGATCAACCTCTATTACAACATTTTAAACATGAGGCGCTCAGGTTCGTACAAAAGACTGATGACAGAATTTGTAACTTTCATATGATTTTTTAAAAAAACACTTTTACAAAAAGGATAGAAATGAAAAACAACGTTCATTCACCATAACCTGAAGTTGGCACTTTAAAGCTCCTACGGACATTAAGACATTGGCATCTTCAAGCAAGTCACGAGATCCGCTAGCAATTGGTTTGAGGAAATGACATACTTGGCTAAGATAATAGTCGTTGTACTGATTGAGTCTGCCGGCACTGGTACTTGAGTAGAACCACTGGTGTCTTCTAGTAGCTCTATTTCCAAATTTCATAGAATCAGGATGTTGGATGCTTCATTAAAGTTGAATATACATGTGAAGCGGGAGGTACTTCGCATGCATATTAAGAAATCATAAGGTTCTTCCTTTTCCACGTCGTATTCATTTTTAATTGTCGCATGCAGGTTTTTTCTCAATATTTGAACCATGCATGCAGCAAAGTAAAACCAGCACAAAAAGAAGGCCATTGTGTAATACTTACGAGACTGCGCGAGGATACCAGATTGGAAGTCACCACTAGCAAAGTAATCAATCATGTCAGATTTGCCAGATGCTCTCCGAGGTAAAAAATCCAGCTCCGGCAACTCGCCCGAAACAGCTGGAGACATGCTCCTAATGCCCTGAGCAGAGCTACGGCTTCTTTTGGACCTATCAGTTTCAAACTTTTTAAATGAACGGTTCCCATCATCGATAAATTGTTAAATTAACGGTAAATCTCTGGAAATGCAGTGAAGGTGCTCTGAATCCCACCAAGATTCACGAAACGAAGACGAAGCTCAACATAGACACGGTCTTCTTCCAGATGCACTTACTTTCCGGATGTAGGGAGTTCTCCTTCACTATCATAGGATAGACTCCCTGTCCCTGTCTGAGATGTTGGCATCGAGCGCTTGGAAGATTTTCCATCTGTGGTTAGAGGGGCTACACGTGTGGCAAAGTCGAAATGGGCTGTTTTAGAAGCATTAACTTCCTGACTTTCAAAAGACATGCAGGAGTAACAGTCGCAGATACTATTTCACACTCATGAAATCAATAGCTGTGGCCCATTTCTTAAATCCCGTGTTTCAGAAAATTTAGTAGATTAAACCATGGACAATGATTTGAAGAAACTTACCAAAAAGACCCGGTGTTCTAAGGCCAAACTTATTCCCGATGAACTCCTCCTGGCTACCAGTGCTGGGCGTTTGAAGAGCTGCTCGAAGCTTTTCCACAGACCCTAGGCTTGGTTGATCGGTAAGAGGAGACTGCAGCAGTTTGCCAAATTTACCGTGCCGAACAAGGAACATGAGTTTTATTAGCTTCTCCTGTTTGATCTCTATGGAACATAAACATAGATCACTATCGATGTACTTGAAAGCCAGGATAGAAAGAAAAAACAGAATTTAATTCGAAAAACAGTAGGCAACTTACAATTTCTACACCGGTGCGGAAATCATTTTCCATTGTAAATGCTGTTTCCTGAGGAAAATCAATCTCCATTGGAGAATTTTGCTTCGAGTCGCTAGAAGGTAGTGATGCGCGTTGAGTGCTGGGACCAGAATGAGCTGTACTACAAATAACCGTGTGTAAGATTCAAAAGATACTTCATTGATTCCGAATAGCAATACCCTTTTACATTTTTTGTGTTGGAGATTCCATGATGTATGCTCAAGAAAATCAACCAATCACGAGCTATGGTAAAATTGCAGAAGACAATGTAAATCATTCACCTGAGTCGAGCTGTAAAATATGGAAAAACGACATACTTACCTCTGCCTTCATGTCAATAGATGTCGAAACTTTCAATCTTTGAGATACCAGAGTTTATCATGAGCTATGCTGAGAGGTGCTTATGAAAGAAACACGCTGAAAATCTTACCCACAGAAATTGCACATGACTCAGGGCCAAAACGTACTGAAATTTGTGGAGACTAACCGCTTTTTTCTCCCAAATCAGCGGTACTTGGAGCGGAAATGGCTAAACTCCACATCTTCTGCAGCGCTGGAGCCCAAACTGGTTCTGGTCCCGATTTCAATTTCAACGACACACAAACAGATGGAAGCGTCCAATTACGCAGGACTGCTGCCGCCAGCTTCTTGTTCGTCTTTTCAACCTGTTTGAGAAACCATGTTCATGTTTGTTCACTCGTCATTCAATAGGCTCTCAAATGATACTCAAGAAGGTTGTAGCTTGATATTCCTCTTCATCCACAGCACAGAAAGACAAACATCAATCTTTTACGTTGATCGAGTGGGAGCGAACCTGGTTCAAGGTTGAACGATCGACAATGTCAGATCTATCGTTGAGCCAAAGGGTAAACATTTTCTTGGGTATTTCTGTCGTAGTGCCATCGTAAATCAACGCTCGGACGTTTCTCTTCCTTTTCCTTTGCCGTCTCTCCCGCGTGGGTTTGGAGCTCCCCTCCTCTGCCTGCAGAGATGAATCATGCATTTAATCAATCATAAAAGTATCTTAATTAAAGTCACAATTTAGGAAAGGTTAATTTTCTGGAATGAGAAAGAAGGGATAGTTCACCAAATCAATACTATTTCTATTGATATCAGGTTCTGGCAGCTGCTCCTCAAATATCGTATGCAGTGCACCGGAAAGGTCGGGTGGACGATTATCTGAGAATCAGAATCCAGAATAAGTTTGTCATTTCATAGTCTTGAGTGTAGAGAGGAACCATCGTGAAAGTTGCAAACCATAGATTATGATGGTTTTAACACTGACATAACAAAGACTTTCTGGTGTCTAAAAACTCTGTTTCATTATCGAATGAGAAAGTATATAAAGAAGCTAGTATTCATGTAGAAGCAGAAGGAAATCGGCAGGTTAATGAAATTGAATGTCCCTTCGATGGCAAAATCAATCTGCTCTGAGTTACCTGGGTTAACGGAATCTAGCACATGATCTTCACACAGATTGTTGTTTGGATATGGCCTCATCCTTGGAAGCTGAAACTCTGGCAAATGATCATCTGTAGCTCCGAGAATACTGTCCACGGATATAGAAGATACGCTTCTGCTTTCCGAAATTGCAACCAAGTCTCATAATTGAGTGAGCTGGCCAAAAACTGTGGTCAATCTAGCGTAATACATACAGTTACCAGCACTGATCAAATTACTGGGGAAGGATTACTGCATTACTTGCGAAGGCCGTCCAAATCTTCAGGTGAATAGTCTTGCAAAGTAATGTCTTCAATGGCAGCTGTTTTACAGATATCAAAACGTGAGGTAGTTCTGATAAAATGCGGAGTTGCCATGTAATATGAGGTTGTCTAGGACAGAGGGTAATCAGTTCGGTGTGTGCTCTGAATCTCTGAAAGAATTTTTTTAATGGGTGATGAATTCTTTACCCTGAAAGTGATCTCGAGGAGAAGAGTGGTCCTCAATGTTGATGTTCACTGCGTCAGGAAAAACGAAGAACATTTCTTCCTGTCGAAAATATCAGTAAGCGCGATTTAATCAAGATATGATTACGATGACCCCTGAGCTAATTGTAGGCGTTAATCCCATAAACCTAAAAAACTATCACTGAGCTTTGTTTCTGATAGAGTGATACCTCAGGCGAAGTTGCAGGCTTTCATGATAAAATTGCTTACCGTAGTATTAGTGGCCTCTTGCAAAGGAACAGATGAGGCTCTCCGACACCGTTCAATGCTTTGATCAGATATCTGAAAACCGTCGTCCATTGTGATATTCTCATATCTGAGCATGCGCAGACGTTACTGACTGCTAATGGGTTTGATGGTAACAATTACAAGAAAATAGTGTGGTACTTTTGCATACCTACACATTGTTTTCGAGTGATGTGGTTCCCATCCCCCATTGCATTTTTTTGACGTGAGCCCCATAACAATAGCAAACATTGAGCTTGTTTTATATCTGAGTATTTCCTGTCATGAAATAATTTCTGATGCCCGAGGACAGTCGCACAGATTTAGACTTACTTGGCATGATATTTTCGCTTTGGCAGAGTGGTTCGATCCTTAACGGCGTCTCGTGCCGCTTCTATTTTAATCTTCATCTGTTTCATATAAATAATGGGATGTGGTCATGCAAAATCTTGATCGATACAATGAATACGGATGACATCTTCAAGAAAATATGAACATTTCACTCAAAATTCTGTATTCACAAAAATGAGATACAACGCATGGGGGTTTCTCAATGTCAGGCCGTGAAGTTTCCTTGGTCGCAGTCTTGAGAGAACTCCACTTGGATTTTCGGGCATAACACCGCAGATCCTCTCCATTATCTCAATGCAAGATGACAGAAATGTGCCCTCAAGGATATCAGCTACACGACGATCACGAAAATGAATATGACATGATAGGGTTTGAAGGAAAAACCGCACGTACGAGAAATGCGTTCAGGTCTTCTGCAAGTTATTAACACACCATAGTTTTATCAGGTTCGTTACACAGAAGGCCTTGACAGTCAGATGACGAAGAGGAGGTAATTTAATAAAAAAAATTAAGATCAGGTGAAATGAAAACCAGACACTTCGCAGGAACTAAATTGCTTTGATAGGATAAATATGTTTCTGATTGCCTGCCTCATTGAACAAATGCCACCAATTGGGAGAGAACATTGATTTCAGTGCTTGCTGACAACTGAAGACATAGACGTTAGAGAGGAATGGTACTTACCATACAGAAAACATACTTTCCGGTTGTAAATATGTACAATTCCTCCTGCCGGCAATCAATCGTGTTAGACATTTCAGCACATACTTAATAGAAGTTGAGGCCTCAACTCCCCACGCTAAATATCCAGTTAACTTTCTAAACAGACTATGGTGACACTTGTTTGTGCTTTTGACTTTCTCAGTCGTGAAAATGATCCTCGGGAAGTGCTGAGATAGTTTTACTTACCCATGAGGATACCTGAGAGTCGTAGTGCCAGCGGAACTGGAGGATTAAGAATCTGCTTACTGTGTAAAGTCGAGAAAGTAAGTTGATAAAATATAATGGAGCCGTGGGAAGAAATATGTATTAATCACAAGGGTTGATGTGCGAGAGATTCCACTTCTAAATCTAATTCATAGACTGTCAAATTGTCTACAGTAGTGAGTTTAGAAACATAGAATACATTTGGACAGTATACCACCTAATCTGGGGCAGCATAGCAGCATGCAAACTGCCTCCAAGAGATCAAAAAAATTAAGTCTAAGTTTTTCTTGTGGCTGGTGAGGAAGTTTTCATGCTACGCAAGAAGTATTATCACCATTGAATCGGAAATTACCATATCTGTTCGATGTTGATTTTTGCTGCCCTCGACCTATTGATATTCGCACGAATTGTGGCTGCAATCCTGACAGTTTTAGATTTCCAAGAACGTGTCAATATTATTGTGAAGGTCATTGCCATTACAGTGGATGATTCTTTCCCTCCACGGAATTGTAGTTCGCTCACCATACTTCTTTTAAATTCAGTAAGCGTGTCCTCAAAGCTTCAGTTACTGATGCTGCAGGTTTCGATGGTCTGAGGATGTTCTAAGAGAGTCGCTGTCAAGAGGATTCTGTGGTTGCCTTCTGTATCGCGAGACTGAAACTAGGGGAATATAATGAATGCAGTTGAGGCACACTTTCGGGAGTATGTGACCTTAAAATGGAAAAGAAACTATGAAAATCTTTCGTGGATCTCTGCGCTCACCAAATTTGGCCCATTGGATGCTTCTTGCTCAAGAGATGATGCGAGTAAAACATGATGTTTTTATGTTGAAACTCAACTTCGCTTAAATTGTATCAGGTTCAAACGCTTCTCAATGTGATGTAAAGGTCAACCTTATGATGTCCTGCATACGAATCGCGCCCATGAAATTTCGAAAACGAGGCTTTAGATTTTATGAAAGTGGTCGAATTAGTAACAAGTGTCAAGAGATTTTATTCTAAAGAACAATTAATACCAATGCACTGTTAACTCGGAAACGAGCTATCAATCACAATCACATTTCAAAACAACATTTACTGCAGACTGACCTAGCAGTACTGTTAGATCATAATATTAAAACCTGTATAAAAAAATCCCTGCACGTTTTGTCAAAGAAATGAACTGTACAACGTACAGACTCAGTTTACTAGAGCCGGGAGCGATTAAAGATGGTCGTATATCCTGCGTGGAATGGTAAGAATTGATCGAAAACTCAGGAGTCACCTCGATCGAAGGGACTCGTCGTCACTGTTGCGCATATTAAAGAAACGGCGTAACGAGGATGGAAGCAGTGAAAAGAATATCATAGATCACTTAGCATCATGCTCATTCAAAAACAAAGCAGAATCACAAAGGTACACAGAGGCAGCTGCTAGAGGTAACCAACACTGCATATCCAACAATTTGTTGAAGTCTTCACTCGATCATCAAGCGGATTATCTTCGCCGCAGCATGAAGAGGCAAGAACTCGAGATGCGCAGAGAAGGTCAGCATAGGGCTGCATAGAGCGTTCACTTCGACGTTGGCATCTGCTAGAAAGGCTTTGGACAATGTAAAAGTGGAAGAGGCGCCACAAGAATCTCTATACCCCATGTTCGAACAGTCTATCATGTGTTTGATGTGACACTCAACATCCACAGAGATCGTCGAATTTAGAAAAATCTACACATCCCAATGCCAAAAGGAGGAAGTCGCTGTCAGCTGACAGTCACAGGGGTAACTGAAGGCGCCCTTTCTTTGGCGCGACCTACGGTCTTGGCGGGCATACTTCACCTTTGGCGCCACCTGCGATCGCAACCAGATATCAATGCAAGCACTGTTTTGCTCAGTTAATTTGGAGGCATAATTTCCTAAGATGCCACTTGATGCTTTTAACATTCTATTCATTTTTAATCATTTAATTTTTCATCTTTTTAATAAATAATGATTTTATTTGAATAATATTTAATTAATAATAGAATACTACTTGTTCACTTAAAGTATTCATGAGTAATTATGCATTTAAATATAAAAAATTAATGCAATATTTAAGCAGTAAATCATTTGAATATCTGAAAATAAAATAAAATATATAATATGCTAAAAAAAAACTTTAAAATCTTGTGAGAAAAATTGTGCAACCAATTAACAAAAAATCAAAAATCAAAAGCAAAATCAAAATTTTAAATTTATTAAGTTGTCCTCAAAAATTAATTATTAATAAGTTGTCCTCAGCTTATTAACTTAGTTGATTAAGTTAGGACAAGTAATCCACAATAAATGAGGTGAGGCAGTTTTATGTGTATAGAGTTAGGCATGATTGCAGCTAAGCTTCTTAGGGTTTTAATTGTAGGCTTTGTTTGTTTGGTTGTATTTTTTTTTTTTTTTTTTAACCCATTTTGATGTCATAATAATAATAAAGAGTTGAAAAGAAAAAACAAAACAAAACAAAATAAATAAATAAAAAAAATCCAACCTTTATTTTTTATTAGTTTTCAACCAATATGGATCTAATAGTAGAAATGTTTTTGATGATGGTTAAGATAACTAGGTTGATTTAGTAATGCTTGGGTCAATTTAAAAATATGTTTATGTATATATATATGCAACAAATTACAATGATGTCATATCTTGATAGTATATAAAATAACATTCATGTACATGAAGGATTTAAAGCATAAGTTTGATACATTATTGGAAACATCAATGACATATTCACAAAGATAATTGAAGCTTGTAGCAAATAGAAGCAAGAAAGTTACATATATTTAATAATTATACAATGAAAAGACATTCTTCTTGATGGCCACAACCAATGGTATTCCAAATTTTTAATAAAAACAAAAACTCAAGATTTTTTTTATTAATTCTACCATAGTAGTTGCCAAAACCATATTGTTGTAAAAACACATTATAATCCTTGAGCAAATTTAAAGGAGACAATTTACAAAATCCTATCAACTATCTATTTTGATCCAAATATGGCATATATATATATATATATATATATATATATATTTCAACAATGGAATCTATTACTTAAATTCCAAGTTATTTGGAACTTGGACACAATTTTTTGAATAGGTATTCTTTTTATTCCTACTTTAGTTATGCTTAAACATTTATTAGAAGAATTTAAGTCTCTGGCCATTGAGGTTGCAAATAGGCTTGATAATATTTTTAAATTACAAAATGATAAAATTTTAGAGATTTTCTTTTGTATTGCAGTACAATTTAAGATTGGTTGGAAACTGGAGGTGTTATATAGTAATTCTATCTCTATTTTTTATTTATTTTTATTTATTTAGCTAAAACAGATTATACTTATTTTCCAATTTGATACCAATTTTAATTTATTCTCAAACACTATGTAAAAGAATGCCTATTGTTGTATAACTCTATGAGATATGAAAAGAAATTTCTAAGTGTACACACAAAACAACAAAAAATTTCAAATATTGGTAAAGACTTAAATTAATGAGCTAAAAAGAAAACAAGATTGCAATATGATGGATATAGGTAGGTGGCCAAAAAAAAAGTTATTAAAGAAGACAATTCTATGGTAGATCAAAACCCAAAGAGACAAATCTCTTAAACAAACAAAGGTTACATGACAAAAGAGAAGTTATACCAACTTGAATACCATTGTTGTTATACCATATTAGACCATGTTACACCATGACATTTGTAAAAAGAATTTTTTTGGATAAATATCACTAAAGTTTCAAATGATACAAATCTAATCTAAAACATAAAAAATGAATTCTTTAGTGCATAGAGACATACCAATTCTAAGTCAATAGAGTTTAATAAATATGACCTATTCATAATAACAAACAAAATTTAGAAATGGCACATATTTTACAAGAATTTCAACAAGAAACATCTTTGATTCAAAATTTCCCACGTGGAATTAATGTGGAACACATGAAAAGGTGTGAAATTTGAGATTAACACGATAGAAAATTCTCCGGGATTAGGCCACGTCATCTCCATCAATGGAAGCTCGATCGAGACTGCCACGTGCGACGATGGCGAGGGACGCAACTTCAGTGAAGCTGATCGCGTCGGCGTGAGCATCTCTCCGATAGTCGATGCGCAAATTTAGAACGTTATTGTCGGTGACAATTTGGTGATATTTCAATTGTGGAGGAAGTTGATTTGGCATGATTGTCATCGGTTCTGATGGTTTAAGGGAAAAGTCTTTTTCTTAATAGATGTGAAGTCGGAGTCTCGTCGTTTCACTGGTGGAAAACGCAGTAGAGGATGAGTGCGCTCTGGTGACTGCACCATTAGGACACCGTCTAATCAAAGACAGGAAAAGGAGACGAGAAATTGACAGTAGTTTCTGGACGAGGGGTTTCAGAAAGCATCGCCGTGTTCTGAGTTGTTGGGATATCCGAGGATCTACCACAATGACCTTGAGGAAAATGGTACATTCTTCAGCAATCACCGTTCAACTGGTTTGTGTTATAGGTGTGGAGATACTATCAGCTACCATGTCGCATAATTAGGTGTAGTTAGACAACGGTCAACTAAACGGCACGAAACCTATTCACCTCCTGTTGACGCTACTCTTCATTCAATTTTGGTGGTAATGTTGCTGCAAAAGTCTAGAATGCATGGGGTCCGATCTCAGCTCCAGCTTTTCTCCTATCCTCTGAATGGAAAAAGGCTCTTAGGATCGGGATTTCGTTTATGACGTCGGTTGTCTACCTGAAGGATACCAATGGCAGGTCTGAACCTTGAGAAATCCAGTGGAAGGTTTTCCTTTGCTCGTTGGAAGCCAACATCATTAGGTTCTTCAGATATCCTTCTTGATGTCTGCGAATGCTGCTCCAAATGGCCTTTCGTTAGGAGATTAAGTGCAAACACGTGCTAAGATTTCAGCATAAAAATGTGAATTCCTATCCCCAAACCTAAGTTTAGCAAGAACACACAGTACGTTTAAGGACGATGAGTTCGGGAAATGTTCACGTTACAACTTGGAAAGTTCATGTTTCACACAATTTCATGAAGTTCGTGACAAAGGAGTGATGTGACCAAAAGGTAGCGAGTCCATCCAGTTGATCCACTTCTGTGTTAGATTAATGCCAGTGCGGTGAACATAATGTGATTATCATTTGAGACATGAATTCTGAAATTTCACTTTTATAGTCGTTTATGTAATGGCATTTACTTTTGTCTACTTGTGGATAAATTTTTTCTCCTGTGATGCAGGTCATGCCCACGACATACGACAGAAATTTATAAATGATTCATAGTGCTCTCTGAACAGATGATATGCCCAAGGCTTCTCTACAAAATCGATCACCGGCATTCCATTTCCTGGGTTGGTTTGGACGAGTTAAACAGACGGCAGTGGAAGCTATTAGAGGCTTTGTTTCTTGTAAATCCCATAAGTCAGATGACAGTTTTGCAGAATACACGGCCAGAACTCTTGGAGATCCTGAAAGACTTGGTCCCCAAGATAACTGCGAAAAGTCTCTACCTTGCTCTATTATGCGGCATTCCTTTCAGACTGATGACAATTTTGCCCGTGTCTTTGCAAAGACTTTAAGAGATCTTAGTCCAGTATGTTTGCGAGGGGGTGGAGAGCAGAATCAATCAACTGATTATGAATCGCCAAATATATGTTCATCCTCAAAGTCAGACGATAATTTTGCTGAGTATTTGGCTTACACTGTTAGAGATCGCAGTAGAATAGAATTTCAAGACAACCAAGGTGAGACCTTGTCAACCTGCTCTGTGCAGCAAGATACATGCTCGTCACCCAAATCAGATTTCGATCATGCAGAAATGGGTGTTGAAGCTTGTCACAAGGAAAGTCCATTGTGTTACTTTTCTCCACCAGATGTGTGGTCGAACAGGAATGGAGGAAGGTCGCCTTTGGGCTTCGTTGGGAGACTGGACGCTAACACAAGCACCCGCCTTGCTGCTATTTGCAAGTCTCAGAAATCAGAAATCTTTGAAGGGTTGCATCACATTAGGGTATGCTTTTTCATTGGCTATTCCTCTGTCCTGAATCATTTTTCGCATGACGAAAGAGTGATTCCTTAGGGTGGGAATCTAGCATGAGTTAACGGAATTCCACATTCTATCTTGGGACGATAATATCTACCTTATTCTTGGATGAAAATTAATGTAACAGTTTCAGGTGAATCGGGCAACTGCTTAGTTTCAATGAAATCCAACGATCCGAAAATGGCTCTCGTATCACGACTTTGTAAAAATGAACATGCAGGAGTTAGATTCTGTTATTGCCTCATCATACGCGAATACGGATCAATGTCGGTGCATTGGAGAGAACACGATTTCTAGTGTTTCATCTGTACAGCCCAGACTGCCTGCCAATTTCTTCGACTTAACCACGAGAATTCGACTTCGAGCTGTAAAGCAGGTTAACCAGTTATGGTTCGAATATTCAAGTGAAAGTAACGTAATGTTCTCTCCAAAGAGATGTAAGAGACTATTTTACTTGTAAGCTACGTGCTCTTTTCATACACTAGTTTGACACTGTGTAAATGTTTTGATGCTGATGGAACAGTATCTCGATGGATTTGAGTACAGAATGAACCCCATGTCCAAATTTCAGGTCAAGAAGCTAAGGCCTCTATCAGGTCTCATGGCCACAGCAAAATTGGTATACCCATTTGAACTTCGCCATGTTACATGCAGGATTTCAGAAATCGTTATAGATCAGCTATCAAGATATACCACCGAAAGCAAGGCTTATAAATCTGTGGGGTCTCCACACTACAGGTTTCTTTTTAAAATTGCTAATGCTGTTCTTGTTGAGTAATGTCAATCTGGTGAAATGCGAATAATGCCTTACCGTATGCTTAACATCACTCGGTCCCGTCAATTGTACAACAGATCATTCACCAACCCGAGCCGATCAAGTGTGTGGAGGCCGTGTTCATAGCACTATATCTTACTGTATGTTTATAATCTTGTCATAACAATCATTTGGCAAGTATCTTATAAATCTGGGCTCAAAATCGAGAAGCAAGTTGTGAATCGGACTATATTTTTTTTTTGTCTCGCAGGCTGGCCTTAAAAGTGTTACGCGCATACCAATTGGATTCAAAACTCAGTTTGCAAATCAGGTGCATTACCGAAACTACGTTACGTTCATGGTATGCCAATCATGTGCTGCATTTCTCATGATGTCTTGACACCTAAATTTCTTCTGCTTACTCCATATGAGCTGTACTTGGACGAAGGGTGGAACAGGTCTTTCAGCACATTGTCTTGTTGGTTCAGTACAAGGGCAAGTATGGAGCGTTCGGAATAAGCAGGAGTCCCGATCTCATGAACAAGAATATCTGTTATGACAGGTGAAAGGAAACACTTACTAAGCAGAGTAGATAGTCTTAACTTTCTATCCTGCGAATCTTAGCTCTTCAGCCTGGAAAGATGCCTCGTAGATTTCAAACCCACGAATAATAACACGAGTGATTTCAGCAATTTCAGCATGTCGAGTATTATTGAGGACTTCAAGACAGCATATGAGGAAAGTGACCATACAATTCTGAATCTTAAAATTGGTCTGCAGGTTAGTTGATTATGCTCCTCATCATTCTATAACAATTACCAATGATCTGCCAGTAGTTGCGGAAAACATAATGCCTCTGCCATCACCTACTGAGCTCTGAGTTGGAGATCGTCTTTGCATATTGAGAGTTATTCCTTTCTTTTCTGCATTAAACTCGACTTGATTCTTAATAAATGCATGGTTTAGTAATTAAGCATTAAGATTCTAAAATATTAAAGTGAGGTTATATAACAAGGAAGCATGCTGCATAAGACTTGGTAATGTAAGAATCATAGACAGAAATCTTGAAAATTATCTGCAGACAAAATTCCTGCTCTATAATCTCCATTATATCCATCTCACAGCCACTGGATGTTGGTTGTTCATTTGAATCTAGAAGGTGCTTTCTTATGGTCATCCAAAAATTAACAAACCTTATTGCAGGTAGAACATAATATCATGTCACCAAATTTTGTTTGTTGGGAACACTTATGTCTCTGTCCTGCCGTCCAACCTTGGCCAGAGGTAATAAGCTGATCATACTTTTCAGTTCTGCCAAGAATATTTGCCCATGGAATCGTTCAGAGATGCTTCAAGAATTATTTTGATTCGTATGTGGTAGGAGATATATACAAGTCCCATGTCTGTCTGCTGTTGCGGTTCCTTTGAAGGTTTCTCATTGTAGCTGGCAACCTCGCGAATGAAGAGCAATATTTGCTCGAAAATAGTTCAAAATGAGGATTGAAAAGTACTGAAAGTAAATTCTGATTCAGTGTTTGGCAGCAATCGAGAAACATGCATCGCGGATGAAACATCTGTGGAGTCTGTAAGTCAATCCTAATCATTATGTGGTCAAATTCATTTTGCAGCGGCTTAAAATATGGTGCTCAATTTAACAGCGTCTCTTCGTTGTTGCCCACCAAGTCGTTTTCATAACCATTGTCTTAAAGAAAAATATTCTAATCTGATAGAAATGAACCATGGATCAAAGAGCTCTGTTGTGAGTTTCTGCAATGATCGCGTGGCTCCCCCTGTAGATGGATAATCTCTGGCAGGGGGGACGACCCCACAAGAAGGTCGTTAAAGTGCTCGAAAAAACTCTTATCACATGATGAAACATCTAAAAAGAAAGCCAAGCTAATGAATAGGAAGCAGGAGAACTTGTTGAAGAGCTCTAAATACAGAAAAGAGTTCCAGGGACATGCATTCAGCTCACCTTTGCACCGAGGCCAATCCATCCTCTTGAGTGCCGTAGCTGATCTACCTACAGCGATCAATGAAAACAAATGTCAGCATTCCAATGAGCAACTGAGTAATCCTCGAACCCCCTCCTCAGTCACAACCTCTGTCAATCAGTCTATGTTTACGGCTCCTTTAAACCCAGAGAGTCCACTCATCCAGACAATCGAGAGTGGGCAAGAGCTTCAATTTGAAGAGTGAAAGATCTAGATAACAAATTTGTGAATCGATAAAGATCTGTAACCTGCAATACACGAACTATGTTATACCCATTTTTCTTTGGAGATCATAGACAGAGCTTGGACGTTGTTCACACAAATATTACAGCTGGAATGTAACTTGAGTTTTTAGGAAATTTGGATTCACTTCTAAGATAAGAAAGAGGGAGAAGATAAAGAAAATAAGTCTAATCCCTTTCAAATCGCATCTCAAAATTTCATGAGCGGATATAAATATATATATATATATATATATATATGGATTGTATTAGAGTAATGAAAATTTGAATAAGACGTATTTTTTTTAATGAATCACTTCAAATAATTAAATATTTATTCAGTTACTGGGCTGTGATTTTGTATCATATAACGGTTTCGTACCAACAACAACCCATGTAAGTCAACAACGTCCAATACAATTAATATATGCATTCAGAAAAAGCTAAACACTCGCCTTAGATTGAATCAGAGTGCACATTGCGATTAAATTTTCAAAAAGTAATGCAATTCTTCGCAACGTTCAGATCACGCAATGAGTTCAAATTATAGGGTCTAATTACTGAGCCGTAATTAGGAGCCGTAGCTAGGTTCTGACAGATTATTAATACTATCTTCCTTTGATTCAGCTAGTTCACAAAAACATTTTATTATCATTGGATTTTCATTTTGTACAGGTCGGAATACGAAACTCTTGTTACGTCCCAATAACACTGAGCCTCTAGGCAAGTTTGTATAGAATGTACTGGGATGAGCTTGTTCAGCGCATCGGAAAGCGCAATTCGTGCTACACGTCTCTTCCAACGGTAACTTCTTCAATGCAAGTTCAGCTGCTAATCGTACAAAGACTTGATGCTGGAGCTTCAGGACAGTTTGTGGCAGAAAATTTGCTTGTTAGCATGCAGAAGAGGTAAAGAAAACACCTGCAATGTTATCAGCAATATTCCACAAAACTTTCAGTTGTTTAAGTAAGCGTAGCGTGGAGCTCATGCAGATATGGGCGCAATCTTCTATGCGTGTCAAAGCGTGTATTTCTTCATAAGTTCTGTTACGTATTTTTTTGGCCTTAAGAAATATATTTCACTAGGGAATTGATCAGGAATGATGACTCAATGGATCAGTAACACTAATCCTGCAAGCCGTTGAATTAGGTCTAGGTTTTGTGAGGAAACTTCTACCCACAACTCAGCTGGAGATGAGAGTTCAACTCACTTCCAACAACCCAAAGACATGTGATAATTTTTTTTATCACAGCAAGGCTAAACAGAATTCAGTCCAGTTGATTGATGTGCAAAACATGACAGATTTTAGTTTATTTTTAACGAATGGTAACCCTTTAGTTATTTTTATATTAAAATGGCTTCACATAGTGCCTGGAGACTTTGTTTTAAGGCTCTAGACTAGAGTAAGAAATGTAAACATTTAGAGGGAAATTGTAATTCCACCTTATGGATCCAATGAATATTTCTGTGTATATGTATATATAATGGAAGTGTCTTTTGAAATAGTGCCATTTGAATGGAGATAGCATAAATCTTCTCCCTAGAATAGCCTTTCAGAACATGACACACAAACTTGCCTGTTATGTCATACACAACTGGTCAGCAGTTTACAGCAACGTGTTGGTAGAGGTTTGACAATTAGGAAAAGAATATTTACTTTCTGGTGGAAATAAGAAAGTCAACCTTGCACTTCAGGCGGCATTCAAAGTAGGCTTACGAATCCGAGTGAAAGGCTTTTCACAACTGGTGTTGTGACTGTTTTAACTACCCCTCAATTTATCTACAGTGTAGCAAGTGATTTGTGGAACGGCATGCAGAAAGTGCCATAATCCGTAAGGCAAGCAGCTGCATGTTGTGTACAATAAAGGACCCAGATTGTCTGTCAAGCAATTACACTATGCCAACTGACAACTTCACCACATCAAGTGGATATGACTCTGCAGACTATTAGGCCAACGCTCATTTATTATGTAGTATGTTAACGTGCACTGCAGTAATTTTAGATACTGATACATGGCGATAGAAGTGTTTGCTGGTCTTTTGAACTGAAATGTTTTTGCCTGTATTATTTTTCAATGGGATGTGGAGGTAGAAAGCTTTCCTGTTAAATTGCCAAGTGAGAGTGTTCATCTTCTATAATATATTTACTCGAAATTGGCAACTGAAAGGTGCAGGTCCAGTTCAGCTCACAATGATTGTTACAACAAACAGTTCAATTAGTAAACTGATGAGCTATGTAGGTCGAAGCTTGTTGCTTCAAATACTACAAACATAAATCAGATTACGTAGGGATTTTTTCTAATCCAAACGTATGACGCCGACTAGCTCTAGTCAGATTTGGGAACTGCTCTACAAGAATGATTTACAAAATACGGTACCACTAAGAAGAACGAGCAGATCGTTCAGCGCTATCCAGTCAATCAATGACATTTACTCTAAGCTCGCTGAACTTATTGAGATACAAGAGACAAATCCAGTGAAAGCTCTCATACTAAAAAATAAATAGCGTGCACACTTAGAGCTTCTATAGGTTGATCTGGAACTTATTCCACCCCAACTAAACTCAATATCACTGATATGCACCCCTCACCAGCCTTACTAAGCAGAAAAAACTCTTCTGCAAAATTGAACACTACGCACCACAATTGGTTTCCAAAACAGACACAATTGGCTCATGAGACAGGGGCAACAACTGGAGCAGCCACAGGAGCAGGTGCTGGGGGAGCTGATGCTACTTCAATTCTAGCTGATGAGTCTCCAACTGGTTCTGAAGATTCTGAAACTGGAGCTGGGGCGTCCTCTTTGGCAGGAGCGTCTTCCCTTTTCAAGTCACCTGCTTCAGGCAGTTCTACAGAACGACTTTGATCCTCAGCAGCGGGTTCTGCTTCAGCCTTGGCTAAGCCAGCTCCCTTCCAGTACAAGGCAGATTTTTGGTCATCATCCTGCATCAACTTCGCGTACTCGTCGTGGGTATAATCATTTTGATCCTCCAAGATTGACTTAATGGCATCCTCTTCAAAATATTCAGCTAGGATCTTCTGAGACTCGGGATTCTTTGAGTAGACAAACTTGACCTTGCGGAAGGTCTTAGGATCAAGGAATGGCTTCACAAGCTGTACAATCCAGAGTGGCATCTAATGTGAGACTGTTGCAGAGAAACGTTGCACATTATGAACATTAGCATGATCTAGAGAAAACCGTTCATTCATGGATACGTTCAGTTAAATAGAAAAATGAATGGTGATACTACTGACCGTCCAGAAAGCCTCGAAAAGCCGCGGTGGGTTGTAGAGGACAGCAACGTGCAAACGTTCAGGATACTGATTTTGCAGAATGTTCGTGGTTTCACGAGCCAAGCCGATGGGAGTGGACTTCTTCATTGACCAGCCTTTAAAATCAACTAACCATATCATCTGCTCTTGACCCTCGGGAAGGTTCAAGATAGCGTTCTCCAGGAAATAAACCAGCTGTTTGATTTCCAATTCGGGGTTGTATGTACTCTGTTGCATTCAAAAAAACATACGTAGATATGTTAAATATAAACTGATACAGCCTCGCGACCCAAACCGGGAGAAAGCGTCATTTGGTACAAAAAAAAATGCATGAACAAAATAAATTAAAACACCATTTCGTCAAAGAATAGTCATATAGCAGACACGATCTTACCTGTCGACCAGGGTGCATCACAATAACAGAGTGCCCCTTCTTGTCTTTGATGTTAGCACGGTAAATTTTTCCTGTCTCCGACTCATTCGCAATGTCACTCTGCATGCGGTAAACCGAAGTCAAGGTCTACTACAAAAGTCAGGATAGAGCCGAAAACGCCTACTTCTGCACCTCAGTGAAGAGGATGCGAGCCTGTTACATATCACATACTCCCAAAAACCATGGGTCAGGAACAAACCCAGCGTATATCTTCAGGCTTGTAACTCTCCCTCCATGCAAGCGAGTCCTTCAACATCTTCTCAGACTTCTTGAGGTTCCAGTTCCGCGCCCTTAAATAGCGCTTAAGACAATTGTCGTCAGCAAATTGCTCTAGACGACCAGTTAACGGTCCAATAGCTTCTCGAAGCTGGGTGACCTGTAGAGACAAACATCTTTCTTGTCAAACACCTAGACTAGGAAAACCGTGGAAGTGACGCGCTCAAGTGCAAGAAGCCTTCAGGAACAAACCGTTGCTTGTCCCAAGACACAAGAGTTAACGATAAAATGTCAACTTCTCCGAGTCATATTCTCATCAGGGATCGTAACATTCACATCTATTCGGAATGGTAAGACAAGCTTTGAACAGAAAATGAGCACAAACTTCCAGAGGTTCGCGAAAGAAAAACTGAGTAAATACCTTCGCGCTCTCCTCTTCTGGCGAGCTTGGCTCGTCCGTATTACGGATGCCAACCTTGCTGGCACTCTTCTTCAGAAGACTAGTCATCTCTTCTCACATCCAACCACACAACCCAACAGTTTCAATAATGACGGCTTCAACACGACTCAAGCTCACCTCAAAACAAGTTCATGCTGTCAGTGCTGTTGTGCGAAGATCAAGAGAAATCGAAAGTATGCTAAATCCTGCATAGAAAGATTAATGACAAAATCATTAACGACAGCGAAACCCCCTAACTCTAATGTAATCTAGAGTGTAATGAGTATCATACTTGATGTTCAGGAGTGAACCCCGACAATGCAGATGACCAGCTATCTTTCAGATCGGAGTCGAAGTCTGAATGGTTGCCCTTTGCTACAAGCTCTGCACGCCATAGAGGTGAAACGGAAACTGTCAGATCCCAAGAAATCTCGAAAATCACCAGAACCCGCAGCAAAAGAAGTACCAGCGAGGAAAGCATCATTCACTGATCAAGAGAAAGAATGATCACCACTGTCACACTCGAAAATCAGATTCGTAACAGATAAACACTTTGCTAGCACTGAGCTACACCTCTGGAACCCACTTCATCGCTAAAACCACGAGCTCACAACGCATCACTCTCTTACCACCTCCCCACACTCATACTTACGTCAGATACAAAAAATCTGATCCAAACAACCAATGTAGCTCCACGATAGGCAGCTCCACTCACAATTGAACTCGCAGACACACATGCAGGGATCGTGGAGGCTGATTTCAGCGAGAAGAGAACAAACACAACGACCCTGTGGGGCCGCCAGGAGGGGGTAACGATCAAGGTGGCAAGAGAGGGTAGCAAGGAGTCTGAGGGACAGTGGGCATTAAGAATGGAACGCTGTAGGTCCTCGCCCACGCCGGCGATAATGGGGTAGGAATTTCCGACTCCCGCCAGGCAGGAGCACAATAAAACCCGGAACAGACTGTCAGTAATTTAGGGTTTCATCGAGTTTAAAACCCCCGCAAATAGTACTGAGCCCAATCCGCGACTAGTCCCCACTGAGAGCCCGACTTGCAGGGACTTTGTTTCGTGGATAGCCTGCGGTTCTCCAGGAGGTGGGTTGAAGAGCAAATTCTGTGGCGATAGCGCTAAACGGTGTCTTCGATTGCAGCGTTCACCTCGTGCGTCACGCCCACGGTTACGGTACTTTTTCACGACACCATGAGTAACAGGGGATCTCGAACTCTTAAACAGGATGGATAATTCGAAACGCAGGAGTTGACTGGAGCGTAACTATTTACCAGTGGATGTCAGCAAAGTTGTTCAAATCAGAACATAATAAACAGAAGAGGTAGTCCTTGCATTAAATACAGTATAATTCAAATGATGGATGAAAATTATCGGGTTCAGTTGATGAGGATAGCTTGAGAGAATTTGTGTTGCTCTGATTGTATTATTGATGCCAAATGTGGAGTTGATGGAATTGAAGATGGATTATGGTCTCATCCGATGCGCTTTCATTACTTGGAGGTTAACCCATATATTGAAAGACCCACGTGCCGGTGAGAGGAATTGAGGATTCAGGCATTAAATAGCTCGTCTATTAAATGAAAACTCGCCAGGCTCTAGATTCAAATCTCGCTTGGCAGTCTCTACTTAAGTTTTAATGATGCTATAATGTAGGGCTTTCTTATCCTGCTCCCTTGCACTTCCCTGGCCCTTCCGAATGCCACAGTGTCCCAGATATATGAAACTGAATTTTGTTCCTCTGCTGAATGAAAAATGAGCATCGGGTTGATTCCCCGCAGTAGAAGGGACATGGAGTTACAGATTTGCACCACGAGTGTAACTCTGAGGAAATCCCTGGATGGTTTTGGATTCACGAGTGAAATTTTTTCCAAATGAAGGCACTGTGTTCTCGTCTTGATAAGAAAGGCAACAGTAATATTGTAAAGTTAGAATCAAGTTCCAAAGTAACCTTAACATTGATAAAGATCCGGGGAAGGGGACAAAAGACATTGACCCACTTGTGCACACCTCTCCGAATACGAACGATTGGGGCCAGCCTTCATCAATGACCGTGATGGAACGCATGGCTGAGCTCAAATGAAATGAGAAGCATGTGTAAAACTGCAATGATCTGGTCTTCTATGGTCTTTAATAGCCTTCAATACAAATGCAAAACAAGCACTGCTTTCTAGAAGGAGAACACTCCCTGCACTCATACACGAGTGAAGGCGGTACACACATTGCAATGCCTGTGGAGTATTAACCGCACGTTCTTCGAAAAAAGACAGCAGTTTGAGTAACTTAGACCTACTCTTGGAAATGTATCATCCTGAAATGTTTACTTCGACACTTCATAGTCCTATTCGGTGCCTGCCTACAATACACAACAAGTTCACTAACTTTTGATTCTTGGTATCACTAGGATCAATCCGCCAAAATCGTCAGATTCGTAAGGATTCCTCTTGCAGACCCATCAGAATCAAACATCAAGGCTTGGCACTGCCATAACATCGTAGTAGCCACACGGTAACGCAGTCTACTCCCTCGATGTGAACGCTGACATTCTGTGGCTGGAAATTGCTGCTGAATTTGTTACCGTAATTTTCATATATGCTGAGCACTGTGTGCATTCGAAGTCCACAGGCAGCAGAGCATTACTTGTCCATAAGCACCATGTAAGTTCAAAGACTGCTGGTCGCCTTCATCGTCATCGTCTTCTTCAATATGACCATGGTTGAACTTGTGAGCTCGATACATATCACCGACATACATTACGCAACCGAATTAGATGCTTTCTCGAACCATCCTATTCCTCCACACTGCACAACGATACGAAGGTATCTCTAACAAGTCGATGAGATACGACTCTCGTGACAGCTCACCAAACAGACAGAATCCTCAATGTACACATCTATCCTAACCCCAAGAGCAAGAGGCAGAGTTACTATCAAAATTTTCATCCATCAAGAGGTGATAGGGTGAAGAAGTGACACAATATACATAGAGTAGTTGCTTGTAATATCAATGTAGACACACTACTTACTTTATTCATTGAGACTGTACTATTTATATTGTTTGGCATCCATAATTACATAAACCTAATATAGTAATTAGGTTTAGGTTTTTATTTAACCTAAAAAAATAGAAGATGTAGTAGTTCATCCAACACTCCTCTTTACTGTGGATCTATTACTTGTTTTTCCTTGTAGATACTATTGTCAAATTAATACAAGGGGAAAGATTCCAATATTGTATTGACTTCTTAGTTCTTTGATGGTGGTAATTTTTTTTTTTTTTTTTTTTTTTTGTATATTGTAGCACTCATGACTTTTTGTTGTTTTGAGTGCTATTAAGATTTTGGCTTTTATTATATTTGCACATTTATGGTCTATGAATTCATATATTCTTGGGATTCTTCTTCTTCTTATTTAAAGACTTACAGCTTTGTTTTAGAACCCATTAATGATTTAGATGCCTGTAAAAAATTGGATTTTTGCAATTTTAATTCATCTATTGTAAATTTGTATAAACTTGACTCTTTTGTTGTATGTTTTTGTAAGCTTGACTTCTTTGTTATAGTTCCTTTAATATTATTTGGTTATGCTTCTATTCTTGATGCTTCAGCCATTCTGTATAATGCGTCCCCTTCATTGGTAATTGGGGTGATTCAAGTTGAGGATTGTTCTTCCTTTAATTCATCATCTACTAGAATTTATAAGAAAATAAGTGCTAAATTTGGTAAAAAAAATTTTATTAAAGAAGTGGTAGTAGAGCTTAGGATAGAAAGTGGTTTTCTAAGCAAGTTATTTATCAAAGTAGTTGATACTATATTTTGGCCTTAGTTGATATTGGATGCATAAGATATAAGTGATCTTTATAAGTTTTTATTTTTTATTTTTTTATTTATTTTTATTCTATGAATTGTTTATAGAACTTAAAAAGAATAGATAGAGGATTAAGATCAATATGATTCTTATATTAAAATGAGTATACAAGAAGATTACTAGTTGTTTGTAGATTCTAATGAATTATCTTTTAAATAATATTATTAGGTTATAGACAAAGAAGAGATGCATGTACTATAGGATCTAAATTATAAGTTGAGAGAAAATATTTTTGAGAATGGAATTTAGATAGTTTATTTTTTGTGCTTCTTATACAGAGGTTCTACTACAATATTGAATTTTTAAAAATAAATCTCTATTGAAAGGCTTTATAAATAAAGCAACAAGCAATTCCAATAATGATATATACTTGAATTGAATGTCTTTTATGTCAATCTTATTTCTTATGTTATGGAATGTATTGTGATGTCTTTTGTATGTGGTGTAATTTGTGGATTTGTTGCCATCTTCATAGACACTATGTTATTACAATTTATTACCATTGGTTTGACTATTATCATGCTTAGGTTACGACTGAGCATCTCTATCTAAAAGAACTTGTGAGCTTCTATAGATATCTCCATATATTTAGCTTTAAACAAAAATATTGGAATGAAAGATTATTTTTTTCTATAGGCAGGTGATTGGATTCTCTTTAAAGTAGAAAAAAAAAATCTTGTTGATGATCTTATTCTTTTCGAATTCCCTATCTAGTCACTATCTACAAATCCCAAGATATTTTGAATTGACTTTCTTTTGTATAAATTGTTATGCTTTCAAGTTTCTTTGATACATTTTAATATTTTTCTTGCTCCTTGTAGGTTTGGTACTTGCTATCATGATATGAAGTGGCTAATTCATCTAATATCAAAACGAATGACAAAAAAAAATTGAAAAAGATAGAACAAATTTTCTTCTAGAAATTGATATTATATAGAATTAATATAAGAATTTTTTATATTAGTAATAAGTTTTAACTTCTCTACTATTGATATTGAAACTAAAATATAATCTCATAGTTAAAAGGGGAATAAGGTTTGTTAGGTGTTATTATGCTAAATGAGAAATATATTGTTAGATACCTAAACAAATTTAGCCTTGAGATATAAAACAATCTATCCCTCACTTAATTTTGACATTTTGAATTTTGGTTCAAGTTGGTATTTGAGCCATACAATATACTTATTGCAATTCTCTATCAAGAATAGGTCATCCATGTAGAAGACAAGAAAAATCTTGTTGTTCTTATATATTACATATATATTGTAATCTTCTTCACTATTTTGGAAGCCTTGTTTTCTTAGATAAATGTCAATATTTTTAATACCAAGCTCTCAAAGCTTGTCTTAATCCAAATAAAGCTTTGTGTAAGCAGTATACTAAGTATTCTAAGCCTTTTAATATAAAACCTTGAAGTTGAATTATATATACCTTTTCTTATAGATTGCTATATAGAAAGGCTATCTCTACATCAAGGTGGAATAATTTCTAGCCTTGCTAAGTAGCTAGAGCCATTAGAAGACAAATTTTAGCTCACTTAATAACAAGAAAAAATATATCTTTAATCTTTTTTTTCTTCTTTTTATTCAAAATTACTAACTATCAGTCTTGTTTTTTTCTTGTATATGCAATCATTTATTTTTTTGCTTCACTTTATATATCCATTTTGTTGATATTGATTTTTTTTATTAGAAATTATATTAATTCCTATGTATTTTTTTAATATATATATATATATATATATTTCTTTCTATAGTATATTCTTATGATAAGTGACATGTTGTTTTTTCAAAGGTTGTCAATTCATAAGGTAGGTCCAATTTTTCCATCAAATATTTTGTAAGCCATGGTGATAGTTTGAATAATATACTTGATCTTATTTTGAATCCTTCATCTATTATGAAGAGAATTAATTTTTTGAATTGAGATAGATTAATAGATTTATCCAAATTTGAGAATTAGATGTAATAATTGAAAGCATTCAAAATTAACTATTTGTCTATAGAATCAAGGACGGAGTAATATGGCATAAAATTTGATCTTGAAAATTACTATGATATACATTATTTAACATGGTAAAGGTCATCACTCTCTATTATTAATTATAAAGTATGTGATAAAATACCAATCAATATTGTTAAATGTTGATATTGTTCCATAGTCAATTTTAAGATTATTGGCTCTTAATCTTCATTGTTTTT